ATTAAGACTGTGGACAATTCCCTGCTCACGAGTCCAAAACTCTTGCCTGACCTGTGGTCCACTGCTAATCTGCTTGCCTATCACCCGGAAGACCCGAGTTCGAATCCCGCCATACCCACCTGCTATACTCTGCTGCTTCATTGGATTTGGTGTTCAATAAAGACTGTCGTTAAAGTGAACCTGCTTGTTTGTGCTGCAATTGGGTCCAGTCAATACCCGTTACAGTTGCACATGATGTATCTCATACAAATCAGTCAATGCTAGTTGTACATTATACACTAGACTGTTGTACATATTTTACATTCATAATTTCTTTTCCCCTTTGCATCTAATCCATCACCTAAAATATGAGCAATGCACTTCTAATACAGGCTAAGTTAGCTGAGGTTCTCATTGATAATCACATAATTGCAAAAGGTGAACCAGAGGGTACAAATTCTGTCTGCCTCCATGTTTCTCACTTTTTTCATTCATAAACTTTTCCCAAAGCATAACAGTGACAGAGAAACAACCAACTACTGGGGCACGATGGTTTATCATATTATGTTTGTTGTTTTTCGTCGCTATTACCGTTCACTGCTCTGTTTTCAAACCTCGTTTTATCCTCATTTGGAGACATGTTGTTGAGCAAATTTAGGGAGACATTTCCTCCTAAGGATAAAACCACTGATGAGCCTGCTGCTGAGAGCACAGTGAGTGTCTGTCCAGCTGCCTGTTCAGGGGCATTTCTTAAACCTTGTGACTCAGGGCTCTATTTTTGTGCTTCACCAGAGACGTGGCGCAGGCGCGGTCAGGTCCGCCGTGCCGACAAGGCGTTCCCAAGCACAATTTGGTATTTTGGTGAGCAGCGCAGCCAGGCATAAGTATCCCCCCTCCCTAACTCAGCTCCTCCCAGTAAGTCGTAGCGAGGGCGAGAGAGGGCGTGGAGTGGGTTTAACACAGCCGAGACCTGTATTGACCAATTACATCAGCTCCTCTCCTCGCCTTTGAATCCACCACCGGCGAGGCGTATTACTATTTTCTTGAAGTAGTCAAAGAGATCAAGAGATGTCTGAAGACAGTAATGCCACAGGATGGAGACAGAAGACAGCCCCTCAACAAGTGTCGCTGTAAACGCTGCAGAGGGCTTCCTTCACACTGTCTCATATAAGCACAGATGGATTTGGTGTGTGTAAGGTTGGACCCACTGTTAAGACAAACACCCTTTCCACAAATAAAGACACTCACATAAAGTTGCATATATTCAAACCTCACGTGACAAAGGTGGGTTGTGCGCAGAGATCACATCATAAATTCCAATAATGGCATTAAAATCGGAACCATCTGTGCATAAAGGACACATCGCACTCCGTGGCCTGGCTCTTTCTTTCGTAGATGTTGGCATATAAAATAAATTTGGCTCTCAAAACTGAATATTATATTCGTATGTAGGCTTAAAGTTAATAACTCATCTGAGCACTGAAATAAATCATCTGTTCAGCCGCTGCAGCAGGACGGGGAGAGGACACGGAGACATGTCCAGGTCGAGCTGTGCGAGAAATAAGAGGAAGAGGAAAAAAGAAAAGGAGGGCGACAAATTACATATCTTATTAACTTCATCATGTGTGTTTATTTACTAGATATTTAATTTAATTTAGTGCGGTTACAGCTGTGTTGATTCGGTCAGGCTGTGTGTCCAAACACGTGCCAAACGCGCTCATAAGATCAGATAAAGATCAGAATATATCTATCTAGATCTCAATGTATGTGCTGACTCAGATTATTGGTTGTTGATTATTTATTGCACTGAAATGTGCCTGACACTGTGGAAACCTGCCAGTGAGGCATCAGTGACGTATGCCAATATGCCGCCGGTCTACCAAAATACCACTAGACCAGCTGCGCTCCGCCTGCGCTGAAAGCTGACCAGGTTTGAATCGGCGAGCTTTCAGCGCACTTTATACGCCACCGGCAAGCACGAAAATGTCACTGCGCCAGCTGATTCTGTCGACACGTCCCTCTGCCATGCCACCACGCCCAGTTTGGCAGACCTCGGTGCGCCTCAGTCAACGAAAATACCAAACTGGCTGTACGTTGGGCTATGCCAGATGAAAATACCACTGCGCGGGGTCCGTCACCCTCCGCCGCCTCACTGGCGGACACGAAAATAGAGCCCACCATCTTTAGTGATTACAGACAGAACATGGACTCGAGGGCCAGCATAAAAACAGTACTGATCTGAATATTGTAACTTTTGCTCTGCAGAGAAGCGTCTTATTATGACTGACTGACTTTGCCCAGGCAGACATCTGACAATGAGTCAGAACAAAGGAGTACAAGGTTTATGAAAGAAAGAAGGTCTGAGCGTCCTTTTGCATACTAATGCAGATATTATTTCTGCTGTTTGTAGAGCAAAAAAAGCCGCTGTGGAAACAACCTCTGAGAGGCTCACCATCTGGCAGGAGAGATGGGGCATGTTAGGATTGTCAGAGAGCTGCTGCAGAAAAGATTCAGAGACGGGGGGATTGATGTCATCCCCCCTCTCTTCCTGAATTGTCCTGATTTAGTCTTTCATTGAACCTCTCTGCTCAGCAGCACAGCCAGGTGTCAGCCTGCGGATGTTCCCAGTGTGGGCTCCCCTTATTGAATTTCCCTTCAAGTATCAATAAAGTTCTTCTTCTTCTTCTTCTTTACAGTAGGTAGTGGTTCAGGGGCCTCATTTATAAAACCTGGCGTAGGATCCATACTAAAAGTGTACGTAAGTCGAAAAGCTGAAAAGTGCGAACGTAAAAAAAAAATCAGATTTATAAAACCCTGCCTACACACACCTGCACGCACTTTCCCTTCATAAATCACAGACCAGCGGGAAAGTTGCGCAGCACGGATTTGATTCATGCCCCGCCCTCTCCACACCCACAATTCACCATGTATGGTCATGCAAATTACCTCATGAATGTGACTTGCATATAAATAAGCCTGATGGATCCACGGCATTTCACACTTAATCATGGCATCAGCAAGTCGTAGAAAAAGAAACTTTTTAGAGACCAAGGTGAAGGTCCTTGTAAATGAGGTGGTGGCGAGACGGGAGACCTTATTCGGCGGCCATTCGAGTGGCATCACGCCGTGGCCGTGGCGCTAAGTGCGGCTGGCACTGAGCGCAGCGTTGCCGAAATCAAGAAGTGGTCTGATCTAGAAGTGGAGGCAAAGAAAAAAGTGGCTTTGCACCGTCGGAGCGTGGCGGTGACAGGTGACGATCATAAAACACAAGCACGTGTGACACTCATGCATGTGTTCCAAAAAAACTGCTCCGTTATCCACCGCTGCTTATGTGGTGAAAGTTTGTAAACCAAAAAGATTTAGTCGAAATATTTAACGTGGAAACTATTTGTTACATTTGAAATTAAATGCTAAATCCTGAAATCAAAATGTTGAATGAGAAGTAACTTCTGAATCATGCTCACAAGGTTCCTTTTCTGTGATGTCGCCAGCACCTTGCAACTTTTGACTGAGCAGAAAGTCTACAAATTGTACACACAGGTGGCGGCCAGACCACAGAGGAACCAACACCACTTCACTGCAAAATTGCCTCTGTTATTGGAAGTGCTAGTGTGTGTGGCATTGTGTCGGAGAGGGAGGAGGAAACAGATTTTGCACAGACAGGTGGGAGGGGGATGGCGTTCCTCACTCCCAAGTTGTGCAGCACCCCACACACCCGTATGATTTTACACACCTTTCTAGGGTGGTAGACTAGCTCTGCGGGTTTGGAAATGGTGTGAGGAGCCACCGCCTCAGTGGGTAGCCACTGTCACCTGCGAGGTATAACCAGAGTAATTAACAAGCAGGATCCAATTGCATTCCAAGAGCGCCACTCAGTAATGCTGTTCCAGTGGCAGCAACAGAATGGGTCAAATGTAGAGAAGAATTTCCCCGACAGAGCAAATAAAGTTGTGTGGGAATGCTATGGTGTTAGTGTAATACTAACCGAGGAGCCAGCCATCATAAGCAGCACCTACCTGCAGTCTGTTCCCTACACCGCTGTGCCCCAAAATGAATGAATCGTGTGTGAGCACCATTGAGGAGTCACAAATTATTTGAACATTTATGGTGTGCACACCTTTTCGGTTTACATAAACAAATTTGTTCTCGCTGGGGGCTCTTATAGCAATGTGGGTGCAGTCAATTGTGCCGATTACATTAGGGAAACCGGACATTGCTGCAAATTGCCTTTTGCTGTTGGCCTGTTCAATAACAGTGTAGGGAAACCTGATGTAGCGACTGGTCATTTGGATGATCCCATCCAAAACAGCTGGCAGTGCGGCACTGAGGGATGGCTGCGAGATCCCAGACCTGTTAGCACAGAATTTACTATTAATTTATATTTTGTGAATCTGTACGTTTAAATTACGCCTATATTGTGATATAACTATCATAATAAATACCTGTCCGACAATTCCCTCTGGAACGAGCCCGTTGCCAAGAAACCAATTGTTGTCAGCACCTTAACCCCTTGTACCCGACGGTCCCTCTCCCGGGCCGAGATTTTGCTGCATGTATTTAAACGCTGTAAAAAATGTATTGAAACTTGACCGCGGTGTTAACTTTCAATTCTCAATCAAAGTTAAGACTCTAATGTTCACAGAACCGGGTCGGATGTCTGTGTTTAGTGTAAACGTTACCCTTTTATGTCCATTTTAATCTGTCTTTGTTTCTGTGTCTGGACATTTAAATTTTGCGACATCGACTGAATCAAAGCTTTACAGTGTAGCGGAGAAAGGCTCCGTACGGCCATGTCTGTAGTCATTTGAAAGGGGAGAAGCTACTGAATCGATTGACACCTTTCAATCAAAGAACTACACATCCCAGCTAGGCAAAAAAACCGTAAAGTGTTCGTAATCTGTGCGTTTTGACCTGTAGCGCCCCAGAGATGAAGGCAGAACGCGGAATCACAGGCCTATCACTTTCGACGGTCCTGCAAACTCTCTGCACCGCAAAAAAACTTTCTAGAGGTCTTTTCGAAGATGGCAAAGAAAACTTTTGACACGAAGAAGGATTTCGCAGAGATTCTTGCAGAGATTCAGCGGGGGTCAGATGTTGAGTTTGAAGACTCATCTGACTCTGAAAGTGGTAATGATGCCGGCTCTGAGGAGGAGGCATTGTTTTTGAGCGACCTGGACCCAGTCAATGAGTGAGTATTTGCAAATATTTATAAGGCTCAGTGTTGTGTAAATTGATATGCACAGTAAACCTTTGTAAAAAAAAAAAAAAAGTAGTAATAACACAGTAGTAATTATGACACTCAATAGTATTGAATATTACTGCAGTTTCACAGTATTTATTTATTTTGGGCTAACTTTGCTTGCAGATACTGCATTTTATCTGCCTTCAAAAATATATTTGATAAAAAAAAAGACATGAAGGAAATATAAATGCAAACAAAATGTAGTACAGGTGACAGCTTCTCAATTTATTGAATGTTTACGTATGTCCACAGCTGTTCAAATGTTGTTTATTTTTGTTCTACATAGTAATTTATCACCATTTTCACAGCCAGCAAGAGGAGGAGAGTCAAGAACAAGCAGGCCCATCGGGGGTTTTCACACCTCCAACAATACCTGCAGCAGTCACCCCTCCCCCACCCTTGCCTGCAAGAGTGTCACCACTTGAAACAAGGTTTGTGTCCTGTGTCCTGAACATTTGTGTAGTTTGGGTCTCTAAAAGAAATAATACACTCTTTACTGCTTCAATTATGTATTTATATGTCTTATTCTTTGTAGAAATTGATGTGAATCATCAGTCTTCTAAATATGTTTCTTTCAACATCTTGTACTCCTTTTTTCATGCAACAGTGAGGAGGAAGATGAAGGTAAAGAGTATGTGCCACCACAGCACAGATCCTCTTCATCGTCCGGTTCTTGGCCTTCTTCCCCTGCCCCCAAGAGAGCTCGTGGTCGTGGTCGTGGTCGTGGCCGGCAAGCCAGCAAGCGGCCAAGACCGGCTCCTATACACCCGGAGGCTCAGCTTGAAAGATGGCACACTAAAGAAGAGCCAGATGTTGAGCCTCCAAGACCACGGTTTGAGCCAAAGAATCCACCAGGACCAAGGATCGACACCACGGTACAGTGGTCCCCGCTCAGCCTCTTCAGGTTGTTCTTTAGCAGCAGCACCATAAACACTATCATCAACAATACAAATGCCAATGCTGCACGACGGTTGGCACAAGGTGCAAAATACAAGTGGTCTCCCCTCTCAGGTGACTCTTTCTATCTCTTCCTGTCAATAGTTTTGTTCTTCGGCTTGGTAAGTGTACACTCTAGGAATGACTATTGGCGGAGGGACTGGCCATACCAATTTGTCTTTCCTAAGTGTAGCATGGCAAGGGACAAATTTGAGGCCATCTTTTGGTCTCTTCATCTCTCTAATGTTGCAGAGGATGAAGAGAATGAAAGAAAAAGGGGAACACCTCAATTTGACAGGCTATTCAAAATCAAGCCACTCTATGGTGAGATTGTGAATGCCTGTAACTCCCTTTTTCAGCCAAACCAGAGCATCACTATTGACGAGCGAATGGTGGCCAGCAAAGCACGCATTGGATTTAGGCAGTACATGAGAGATAAGCCAACAAAATTCGGCTACAAATTATTCGTATTGGCAGATTCTAAAACAGGCTTCACTTCAAATTTTTTTGTTTATCAAGGTAAAGATGATACCAAGGTCAAACAGAGGGGACAGACGGAGGATGGCCTTAGTGTCACATCCGTCATGAACCTGATGAAGTTTGATCTCCTTGGGAAAGGCTATCATCTTTACGTTGATAACTTTTACACCAGTCCACGGCTTTTCTTGAAATTACTCCAAAATCACACTGTAGCTTGTGGCACCATTCGGTCAAATAGGGAGGGATTTCCTAGGACAACTGTGAATGACCTCCCAAAGAAACCTGAGATGGGAGACATGAGATGGATAAGGAAGGGCAACCTACTTTTTGCACGGTGGATGGACACAAAAATTGTCAACATCTGCAGCACCTTCCACAAGGCATATAGCGGGGCCACTGTACAGAGGAGGGTAAAGGGACCAGATGGACGCTGGCACAGGGGTCCTGTTGAGGTACCAGACGCATGCAGGGACTACAACATCAACATGGGTGGTGTGGACCTCTCGGATGCTCTGATCCAATATTACACCGTCCACAGCAAGACAGTGCGGTGGTATAAAACATTTTTCTACCATTTCGTTGATATTGCTGTGGTCAACAGCTTCATTCTCCACAAAGCAGTGGCCACCTGCCAAAACCAGACCCCTATGTCCCTCAAAAGGTTCAGGGAGGTTTTGATGAAGGAAATGGTTGAGCAGGCTCAACCTATTCCTGCTGCAGCCACCCCTGGCCCGAGCGGTACTAACACCTGCATGCCTGAGTTCAGGGGGGGTGATGGCACTCAGCAGCGCAGGAAATGTGTGGTCTGTGCAGCCAAGGAAAGGGAAAAGGCCAAACAGGTGCAGGGCTACAAGGCAAAGGACATGAAGACACCAGTTTTCTGTTCAAGGTGCAATGTGTCACTTTGCCTTGTGCCCAGAAGAAACTGCTTTGTGGAGTATCACAAAAAGCAATAACTTGTTGGGTATTCAAGAACCATATTCATCCCTTTACATACTGTAATATTGTTTGTTGTGTTTTGCTGTGTTTTTTGTTTACCTGCACATTCCATTCGTTTACATTTATATTGATCACTTTATATTTTATTTATTTATTGTTTGTTTGTTAGATTTTATTTACAAAAAGAACTGTAGCTGGAAAGCCATACCATCCCCTTATTTCTCATTGTAAATAGTTTTGTTGCACCTTTTACTTACATTTCATTTGCACTAATTGTGTTTGCTGTGTTTTATATTGTTATCTATTGTTTTTTATTTTATATTTGTTGCACCTTTACTATTTATTTTACATTGTTTGCACTGAGTGGTTGTTTCTCTTTTTGCACTTTTCTTTAAATAAAAATACTCCCTGTGGAGCCAAAAAATGTAGACTTTCCTGTTATTTTTCATTATTCTTTATCTCATATAAACAAATATATTGTGCAGAATGGTAGAAATTGATGAGTCACAAGGTAAATTTCATATCCAAAGGCTCCAATAGTTAGTAGGAGACTAGTCTAATGGAAATTAATTGTAATTTGGAGCCAGTTTTCATCAGAGGTAGAAAATAATCCATTTGGCACAAAGTGTGCCAAATTGTGCCAAATTGTGCCAAACTGAGTCCTCGCCAGGGTGTATCCTTACAAAAACCTTCATGTAGGCTTTACTGTTTGCCCAAATTCTATCAAATTTGGTACATTTGTGGTCAAGGAGTGGATGAAGCTAATCAGTGACATCTGGGGGCCTGAAATCATTGCCAGCATTGTGTTTTCCCCCGTCAAAAAAAGAAAACATTTTGGCGAGGGTAAAAAAACGTAACTTTTCCTCTGATTTATTCCAATTTACTCAGGCATAATGACAGATAAAACACTTCTGACACTTGGAACACATTCTCTGAAGTCTCTAGATGTCCAAGGATACAAAGAACATGCATTTAACCTTTAGTAAAGTGTAGTAATTCCTCATTTAATTTGGGTATGTCTTGTAGGCGTTTTTTTTCCTTAAAATATGCTTAGGGCTTAACGTGTGCCGGTATGGCGCGGTTCCGGTGTGTTGGGTGCTCGAAAATTTGACTCAATTCAGCAATTAGATCCAAGAGCAAGGCTCTAGGGAGTCTAGGCTAGGCTTATAGTCTAGGCTAGGCTTATTAGCCATTCATCATCATGAGCCAGGAAATCTTCCCGATCTTGGAACACCCTCTCCAGCCGGATCCGTCCATTGGCGTGGTCTTCGAGAAGCGCAAGTGCATCCATTGTGCTGCATTGCGCACGACTGTCACTGTATGACTTTTTATACGCGCGCTTTCCATTAACCAATTGTTCTCACCTTGCTCCAATTGTCTCCAAAAAGTGCGTAAGCAAGGTGTGGAGTTTGCTTAAAGTTGCGCACATTCCTACGCTAGGTTTTTTTTTGCGTAAGAAGTGGCATACGCACTTCCAAGCCAGGTTTTGTGCGTAAGCAAGCTTTAAAAATGAGGCCCCAGCTCCCTTATTACCAGGTCAGAATTCTTTGTCTTTGGTTTAACAGCCTAGTATCTATAGATATCAGTATAATATCTATCTAATATCAGCCTAATATTAGCCTAATATCTAATATCAGTCTAAAACTTTCATCTATCTAATATCAGTATTATATCCATTTAATATCAAGTGTCAGTATAATATTGTACAAAACTTAGCCCTAACCCTAAACCTTACATCAGTTTCATGTCATTGTGATAACAGTTTAATATCTGTCTTAAACTTATATCTATCTTTTATCGGTCTAATATCATTCTAATATCAGTTCAATATCTAGTATAAGCCTAATGTCAGTCCAAAGTTAACCCTTACCCTAGCCATTACCTTATCAAACGTCAGTCTTATGTTATTGTAATATCAGTCTTAAATCTTCTAAGAAATGGCAAAGCTCGACGTGAGGTGACTCGTCTGGTGTTTAACTACCATTATCCAGTTGTAATACCCTTCCACCACTGATAAGGCCAATCCTAGTGGTGGAAGGGTATTCTCAACCCTCTTTTGCCCTCAGGCCGTCATTGTAGGGCTCCTTTGAGGAGGACTAAGAGACCTCAGGTCTCATTTATCCCCAGTGCAATGTATTTACTTAATGGCAATTAAGCTTTAAATTGCCCATGTTCTATTTTGCACTGCTATTGTTTTTTGCACATCCAGACTTTGCACTCTTCACAATATGTGGAAGTTATTTTCCAGTTTTGGTATTAGCTCAGGACTGAAGATTTTTTTTCATAATCTTGTGTACATGTATGGTGTTTTCTTATTCTTACCGTATTGTCATTATGTAGCCTGTCTTTTGCGTGCTCCTGCTGCAACACTGATTTCCATTTTGAGATTCTGACTCTGATTCTTTACACACGTTTACAATCAAATCTTGAGTTTCTGCAGCGTTCATGAATCCAGAGAAGTTTTTAGCACCACTGATGTTTACGCATAAATCTACACATAAATTTACTAACGTTTCATGAATGAGAGCCGTTGTCTCTGCACAGTTTTCTTCAAAATATCATTAAAAGTAACAGATAGTATGCTTGATTATACTAAAATGCAGACAGTAAGGGCAGTGAAATCTAACTTTTTCCTGCATACTGTTGAAGCTGCCTCATTAGTAAATGGCTAAACAAACAACTCAACTTGTGAAGTGCCTAAAAGTTTGGGCATCTTCCTTTGTAATTTTCTCTCCATTGCAGCTCACTAAAACCTTCTTGGAATGAATACTTTTGTGTAAAGAGACAAAACAAAGACAAAAATTTGTATATGAAACTTTAAGTGCTTCATGTACATTAACTCCCAAAAGGTCAGAGGTCAGATGTAGTTAGTGGATGCAGCGTTATTTGCATTGTTTGAGAGAAAGACAGAGTGTGAGATGTGAGTCTCTCTCTCAGCAGTCCTCACACACAACAAGCAGCTGAATGAACTCAGGCTGAAGTCACTCCCTCTGCTGCTTATTAATCAGCAGGTCACATGACCACTTTACTGGGTTCACTGGGATTTGGCAAACAGTGTGGGAGAGGAGGACCTGCTCAGGGAGCTCAGCCTTTACTTTAGTTCATCTGGAGATAGTGATGGAGCTTTATTTGATATCCAGCCACACTGTATGAAAAATTGATGACATGGAAAAGCATTAGGACTGCATGCTCGGCTTATGATGGATTGACCTGACACTATTTAACTTTATTTCACATATTCTAGGTCTGCTGTTTTGGAGAAAGTCTAGGTTTGGTTCTCTCTGAGCCTCCTGCAGACCCACACAGTCTGAAGGAAAAGGGACTGAGGCTCCTGACCGATGGTTTCCATCCTGACAACACAGGGCACACTGTGTCCTCCACATATAGAGGGGTGGGGGGTGACAGAGAGAGAGACAGAAGAGAGAGAGGCAGCCCCTCGAACAGTGAAGCTGCCTCATTAGAAAGAAAACATACTTTTTTCTTCTTCTTTCAGAGTAGTTTTACACACAACTGTTTTCTTCTATTCTTTTTTCCATTTTTTTATTTTCTTGCTAAAACATCCCCTGATATCAGGATGAGTGTGTGTCCCACACACTCTTCACATTAAAGTGGCTAATTTAGCTCTCTGATGATCAACAGATGATCAACAGTTGGGGTTTGAACCCTTCACAGCTCAACCAGCTGCAGAAAGCTGAACTGTTTCAACCTTTTATTACACAACACAAAATGTGAAAGATGCTTTTTTCCTTTGACTTCGTGATTCAGTGACAAAGGAAATTACTCTCAGTCTGAATGAGTGCCATTACCTCTAAGGTGGACAACTATCAAATCTTACTGAAGTACCAGTGGTTGATCAGAAAAAAAATCTGAACATTGATATCAGATATTGGTCCAGAATCAGCAAAAAAAGAAATATCAGATCATCTCGGCCTGAATCTAAAATCTCCAAAATCAGATCTCCGAAACAAGCAGTCCGTTCTAGACTCCACTCCAGCACCTCTATCACAGTATGGAGAGCCCATGTTATCACACCAACAGTGTGTACTAATTAGGGATGTGTGCGGTTATCCGGATATTCGTGTAAATGGGGCTGTCCTTATTATGCGTTAAGTAAATAATATTCATTTTTTCTAAAAAAAAGAAAAGGGGAAAAAAGGAAAAAAGCGAAAAAAAGCTTCTTCTTTTTTTTATTACGTTTTTACCGTCATGTCTTAATACTACCCCACTTCAAATCAAAACTCAAAACACATCTGTTTCAAATTGCATATTCTCTTCAACTGTCCATCTTCATACCTGTGTGTTGTTTTTATTTATTTTAATTGTGTTTTAACTGTGTTTTTAATGCCCTGTACAGTGTCCTTGAGTGTCCAGAAAGGCGCTTTTAAATAAAATGTATTATGTTATTATTATTAATAAAAGTGTGCACTCAACAAGCTAAAATGTGTGGATCATTTCCATGCAACTCTTTCTGCCTGGTTGCTGCAGCATGCATGGCGTTGTGGGTTAACTTCCTCAGAGTGAATCAACACATGCGATCAGCCAGAGTGATGTCAGTGAGAAAATAGAGCAAAGTTTGGGAGTATTTTGATTTAGATAAAGATGGCACACAAGTGTCATGCAGATTGTGATGACGCAGCAGGCTGCTTGGCTTGAGTGCAGCAGAGCGGAGCTTAATTGCTTTGATCTTTCACATACTTTATGTCATTCTCCAGTGCTAAAATAAGATTCTGCACCATATTTTAATATTATAAGCATGGCTTTCATGTACTCTTAATATTTATTTCAGATGATATCTGGCCATATAGATTGACATGCTCAATTTGGGCTATTTTCTGGGAGTTAATTTTCGTGTATTCGAATATTCGGTTTCAAAATGGTCATTTAAACGTCAGTGAAATGAACCGCCGGGAACATCCCTAGTACTAATGCACAACAAAGTAGCAAAAAGTACGAGTAATGTGGCATTTTTTTTGTTGTTGTTTAAGTCTGAAAAGGATGTTGAAGCTGAGTGCAAAAATTGTCATGCACAAGTTTGTGCCAATATCTGATCAGTATCAGCAAATACTGAAGGCTTCAACATGGGCATGGTACCAGAAGTAAAAGGAGTGGTATTGGGACTAGGACTGGGCAATTTGGCAAAAAAAAGTGATCACAATATATTTTGTCACATTGTGTGATCTCAATTATTATCACAATTTTTGTTTTTAAACTGACAGTTTTAAAGCATCTGTCGTAAAAAAAAACAAAGAAACTAGAGAGTAGTTAGGTCTAACATTTTATAAACACATTTTTAAGCCAAAATAAACAATTCACTCCCTCAGGGATAATGGAGATGCCTTAAACTGTAAACATTAGATGATGTAGACGTAGATGATATGATTGCTACTTTGGTCTGGTGGCTGCACCGCTAGTTGTGGCTAAACTGCTAATGCTACTTGTGCTGTCAGCAGTGGTATACCTGAACCACCACCATACCACCACACAACTGAAGTTGAGTGACTTTTCTTCTCAACAATGGCGTCTCAAAGTCATGGCTGACATCTATTTTGCTGCCCTCAGCTCTGTGTTTAGCCCCACATTCGGTCATTCTGTTTACTTCTCCTGTTTACGTCTCTGGAAATTCACAGAAGTGAGCGGGAAAAGCTCAACTCTGATTGGCAGTTGTCACGCACATTTCCACCATGTTTAATAGAGGAAAAATGCTCACAGCTGATCACCGTAGAAGTAGAACTGCTGCTGCACTGCACTGCAAAAAGCTTGATGTAAAATTTTACGTGAAATGTCCCACTCCAGCACTCAGAGGTTCTGTTATCTTCTATCACTGACAGCAGAAAGTTTGCTAAGAGGAAGAGGATAGCATGCAATTAATACAAAATGTGGGAATTTAATCCTTAATCACATCGTCGTTAAAGTGATGGCACTGAAAGCCCTACTTCAATTAGATGTATTTTTCAGGAGCAGCCTTTACAAGCTGCTAATGTTATCTAGTCCTAAATTGATTTAAAATACTGATAAAATCAAGCTCATGGTTTTCTCTTGTAGTGGGAGCAAATGTTGACTAGGGAAGATACAAGGGGATGGGCAGGAAGTAGAAGTGAGTGTAAATGAATGAGCTGAAAATAAAGCAAGCAGTGGACCTACAGATGTCTCTCGTCTGGTATCACATAGACTATCTGAACATGGCATGTTAGCTCTCTCATACAAAGGTGTTACCACAGAACATTACAAATATTAAAACATTGAACAGAAAACCTGTAAAGCAGGTTTAAAATGTCAAGTACTTAGGTTCTATCCTCAATTGGGAGTTTTTATTTAAAGCACATATTTAAAATCTGGTCTCTAAACTTTGGGTGAAGCTTGGTTTCTTTTTCAAAAACAGAACCTGCTTCTCTCTCAGGGTCAGAGAAAACGTAGTGACTGGAACAGTCTCACTTATTCCGGACTGTGGGGATGTGTTTTTTTTTAAGTGCGTCATCCAAATGTCTTTGTCCTTGGACACAGTTTTTCATTCAGCACTGAGATTTGTCACTGGCTGCAGTCGTCTCACCCGCCATTGTGATTTGTACGTGAAATCAAACTCGCCTTCTCTGAGTGCTCTCAGAAAAGCACACTGGCTTACTTTAATTTACAAGGCTCTTTTAGACTTGATTCCCCCTTATTTGTGTTCTCTGTTGCAGAAAACAAGCAGTTGCTGTGTCTTGCATTCTTGCACTACACTTGTTTTAAGGACCATATTTGGTAAAGCTTTCAGCTCTGCTGCCCCCTCTGCTTGGAACACTCTGCAGACTGATCTGAAACTCTATTCCACAAGGAGCTTCAACTGTTGTTTGCTATTGTGTTCCCACACATCTAATTGAAAACACAATTGCATCTCCAAAATTGTATGTATCAATCTGTGCTGCATGGAAGTTGCTAGGCCTGCAGCTATACAGGGTTACATTCCCACCCCCGTCATGTGCGCATTGCCAACACACATGCAAACACACATACTGACATACTGTACAAACATACACTCACACACACACACACACACACACACACACACACACACACACACACACTCACTCACTATATTGGGCCACCGTTTATG